ACGGGCCACTCGACTCTACGGACTCATCCGAAGGCAGAGCTGAGAGCGACTGGCGAGTAGACAGAGGAGTGGCCTGAGGCGAGGAGTACGTGAAGCCGAAGCGCTGAAGGACTTGCTGCACCATGTGTGACTCAGTCAGGGTAATGGTGCGGTGTGCTCTGTCGCGGGTGATCTGCAAGCCAAGGTAGCTCCGCAGTTCACCCAGGTGTGTGCACGTGTGTCTCTTCCGCAGCTCGGACTTCACGTGGGCGAGTCCAGCAGTGTCTGAAGTGGCAAAGACCAAGTCGTCGACGTACACGAGGATGTAGAACGGCGGCAGAGAGGTGTCAGTGCGAAGAAACAGCGACGGGTTGGCAGTAGAAGGAGCAAACCCAAGAGCCGCAAGTGTAGTCCTCAGTGTGTCGTGCCACTCACGGGGCGCCTGGCGGAGACCGTAGACTGGGCGCCGGAGGCTCCACTGGTTACCAGGAGAAAACGACCCAGTGAAGCCAGGAGGGCGGCGCAGCCAGATCTCCTCGTGCAGGCTGCCCTGCAGGAAAGCTGTGCTGAAGTCAAGAGAGTGAAGCTCGTAGTCGCGCTCAGCGGCTATGTGCAGCAACACCCGAAGAGTGGTCATCTTCAGGGTTGGAGAGAAGGTCTGGAAGTAGTCAAATCCTTGCCGTTGACTGAAGCCTCAAGCCACATAACGCGCCTTGAAGACAGGCGGAGAACCCGGAGGCCGCTTCACCCTGAAAATCCACATGCCACTGAGGATGTTCGCCCCAGGTGGGGGAACCTCGACGACATAGGTGCCTGTGGACTTCCAGGAAGCCATCTATCCGTCCATGGCTGACTGCCACTGTGCGGAGTAGGGACCCTCGATCGCCTCAGCGTACGATCGAGGAGTCGGGATGTCTGGTGCATCCGGGTCTCCCTCAGGGGCAATCAACTTGGACACGAGATGAGGCAAAGCAGCAGGAAAACACTGGAACTCCTCCTGCCTGTCCTCAAGGACGTCCATGCTAAGAGCACACTCACCCCCTGACGAACGGAGGACAGACAGACTCAGACTCAGCAACTAGGCTAGCGGCGTAGTCTAGACGACAGGTGGCAGCAAAGTCGACAAGCTCAGCAACTAAGGCATACGCAGCAGTGGACTCAAAGGAAGGGTCAGTGACAACAGTAGCCAGGAGACGCGTGATAGTAGGACTGGTAGCGCGAAGGGAGTCAGACTCCGGGTCAGCAAGAGCAGGAAGAGAGGACGCAGGAGGAGACGGGAGAGGGACACACTGGGGAGCAGTGGAAGGACGCAGAGTCATATAGTGTGTGCCGGGGACAGCAGGAGGGCGCGCACGCGGAACACGGCGAGCAGTGCGAGCAGCACAAACACGTGACGTAGGACGAGACACAGGCAACACAGGACGAGACTCTGGCTCACGACGCTCTGTAAGATCGCCTGTCGGACCAGTGTAGGGAGGAAGACTAGGAAGGGGCGAGGCAGGCGGCAGCTGTGACTGCGACTGGACAGACGGAGGACACTCTAAGGAGGGAGGAGGAAGACGAGGAGGAGGCTGACCAAGAACCTGTTGAAGGAGCGGAACGAAGTACGGCCGCGGCCATGAAGTGTCTCGAGATCCAGAAGAGACACCAGCGCCAGGGTCCACAGCACCAGCAGCAGCACCAACACCCAGGTCCGCAGCACCAGCAGCAGCTCCAACGCCCGGGTCCTCAGCACCAGTAGCAGCTCCAACTCCAGGGTCAGTAGGACCAGCAGCAGTTCCAACGCCCGGGTCCTCAGCACCAGTAGCAGCTCCAGTCAGTAGCACTAGCAGCACCGCCAACGCCCGGGTCCGCAGCACCAGCAGCAGCCCCAACGCCCGGGTCCGTAGCACCAGTAGCAGCTCCAACGCCCGGGTCCTCAGCACCAGTAGCAGCTCCAGCTCTAGGGCCAGCAGCACCAGCAGCAGCGCCAACGCCCGAGTCCGCAGCACCAGCAGCAGCCCCAACACCCGGGTCCGCAGCACCAGTAGCAGCTCCGTGAGTGGTACTCTCAGCACGGGGGGGGGGGGGGGGGGGTGGCCTTAGCTGCACGTACGTTATCCGCACTGGTGACCGCACTGGTCAGACGTGTGGGAGGGCTCACCCCACGCAGCGCTGCTTCTCTCGCCTCGACGACGCTTGGCGCACTCAGTTTCCTGAGGCCACTGAGCTGCCCCGCTGGGCTGATCTGATGAAGAAAAACATTGATATCTTTGCACTAGACTTTGATGCTATTCTCACCGCCATGTATGTGATGTCTGTTAGTGGAGAGGGTGCTCAGTACCTGCATGTTCCGCCCGATCCGGGCATTCAGTTCGGGCGGCCTGGTTCTGGCGGGGCCATGGCTGTCGCGTGCGGGGCGCTAAGGGGTGGGCGCGCGGGGTCTACGGGGGTGACGGGGCCGCTAAGGGACGGCGCGCGGGGTCGACGGGGCCAGCGGGGCCTCTAGGCGGGGCGCACGTGGGGTCGACAGGGCCAGCGGGGCCTCTAGGCGGGGCCAACAGGGCCTCTAGGAGGGGCGTGCGCAGGGTCGACGGGCCGACGGGGCCTCTAGGTGGGGCGCGCGGGCCGACGGGGCCTCTAGGTGGGGCCGACAGGGCCTCTAGGTGGGGCCGACGGGGCCTTTAGGTGGGGTGCGCTCGGGGTCGACGGGCCGACGGGGCCTCTAAGGGACGGCGTGCGGGTCGCTAAGGGGCCGTTAAAAAGAGGGACGCTGGGGGAGGCGCTCGAGGGCGCTCCTACAGTGAGGCGCATGAGGGCGCTAGTAGGCAGTCAGCAGTGGTGGGCCCTAAGAAATCGGTCCTAGCGAAGGACCTGCTCTGATACCATGTTAGAGAATGAATGATTGAATTGAGAGAGAAGTGAGTACAAGTACCTAAACCTAGAATTGTGTACCCCTTAAAGGCTAACCCACTGTAGCCTAAACAACTACAACATATATAATGTTTGACACCAGTTAGGGGCGGCGACGGGGCCGCTGAAAGGGGCGGCGCCAGGGCCGCCTAAGGGCGGCGACGGGGCCGCAGTAAGGGGCGGCGACGGGGCCGCTTAAAGGGCGGCGACAGGGCCGCCTAAGGGCGGCGACGGGGCCGCAGTAAGGGGCGGCGACGGGGCCGCTTAAAGGGCGATGACAGGGCCGCTGAGAGGGCGGCGCGACGGGGCCGCAAGGGCGGCGCGACGGGGCCGCTAGGGGCCGTAAGGGGGAACGACACGGGGCGCGACTCGGGCAGGGTCCAAGCGCGCTCCGGGCAGGAAAAAAAAAAAGTTCGGTGGGCCCTAGGAACAGTTCCCACGAGGGAACCAGCTCTATACCATGTGAAGATTAGAACGAGAGAATGAATGCATTGAGCAGAATGAGGAGTACAAGTGGCAAATCCTAAAGTGTTGTACCCCATATGGACTGCCCCACTACAGCTGACATAGACGATAGCATATATGCCTAACAGGGGGTGCCGATCGCTCCGTGCCGAATGTATGGTTCGGGGTGAAGCGTCGTGTTTCGGGTTGACCTCGAGTCAGCGCGTCGTATCGCTCGGCAGTACGCACGATGTCTCTGTAGCTATTGTAATTCGCCGCAATCACCTGTTGCCGAATCTCCATTTTTAACCCTTCGGTGTACGCCTGGATTTTTTTGCCTTTGGTCAGGTCGGTGATGCGGTTGAACAGTAACTCCATCTGCTACGTCTACTGTGTTACACTACTGTATTGCTTGTGTCGGTGTATCTGCTGCCGCGCCATGTAGTTGTATTAATTGGTTCGAAACGCTCGATTAAATCTACCCGAAACTGCTGCCACGTTTTCTCCCCGCGGGCTATGTTGGTGTAGTAAATCCATTCGAGAGCCGGTCCACGTAACAGTGTCGTTGCGAGCCGAATCCTTGCTACGTCGTGTTGCGGGATCGAACAGCCAATGGCCTCGAAGTAAATTTCGAGGGTGGCCACGAATCGCCGGACGTCGAATCCCTTCGCGCTTGGATCGAACGCCTCCGGGAGCCTCGGTCGTGCTGCTTCGAGGTTCGGCGACAGTGGTGTCATTGGTCCGTGAAATGTCGGTGTCGCCACTACTGCTGGAGTTGTCGGTGCTGCAGTCGATGCGATCGCTGCTGCTGCGGTGGCGAACCCTGGTTGGCTCGTCAGAAAAGCCTCGAGTCGACGAAGCGTCGCCTGCGTCTGCTCCATGTCGGTGCGGAGGCTCGCGATGTCGCTCGTAGTCACGTAGTTGTCGCCTTGGCCCTCCATGCCTGACATCAACGCGTCCGAAAAACTGAATCGAGGGGGAGCGAAAAACACGGAACCGGTTTTACGTACCCGAAATCGATGTTTGACTGCGTCGCCCCCGCGGTTTTTTGAAGACTGGTTTTTTGCGGTCGAAAGAACTTCGCGTGTAAACGGGCTCTGATTACCAAGCGTGAGGATCTAGGATCGAGCTCAGAAAAGAGAATGAGATTTGAGTCGAATTGAATGATCATCTGGGTACAACACGAGGCTATATATAGGCTCGACACAAGGCCCCGTAACCAGGTGTTACGCGAAGGTTCCGCGAGCCGCGTAGCGTCCCGAACAGATCCTTACCGAATTCGGTAGAAGGCAATTCGGTGGCAACCGAAAAGGCCAGAATTCGGTGCACGCAACCTAGCTCGGTGCTATAACTATAATAAAATATAGGAAAGCACCTAGCCTAGGAAATCAAGCAATTCATGCATGCATATGATTATCCTATGCTAGAAATAGCATGATAAAGTAAAGGTAAGCAAGCATAGCTGGCATAAGCCGTCGTACTCTCAGAGAATGGCATCAAAATATTGACATCCATATGAAACAAACAGTTTGTGACGCAAACGAGCTGCGCTAAACAAAGGTGACTAGTCACATAAAAGAACATCAACTAGCAGCACACTCCGTGTAGGCACCAGGGTTTACAGGGGTTTCCAATATACCTAATAGACTCTGGAAACAGAGTTACGTTGTTGCAAACCTACGGGGTCACGCCACTCCGCTGCTGCTGGCGCGGACCATCATCTGAGCCACTCCTCTGCGCAGAGTCGCGAACGGCTCCACCACCGCCGCCGCCGCCGCCTCCGCCACCTCCTCCACATCCGCCTCCTCCGCCACCTCCGCCGCCTCCGCTCCCTCCGCCACCACCGCCGCCTCCTCCGCCTCCACTGCTCCCGCCGCCGCCGCCACCCCCGGCACCACTCCCACCACCACCCCCACTCCCTCCACTGCCTCCAACACCACCTCCACTGCCCCCGCCAGCCCCTCCAGCGCCCTTGCCCCCCTTGCCCTTGCCGGTGCGGCGTCTCCCGCTCGGGGCAGACGCAGCGCCGACCGACGCGAAACCAACGAGGTCAGCCGCAGCAGCAGAGGCAACAGAGGGCAAGAGGGGGGAGGGAGAACACCCCTCAAAGACGGGGGTGCGAGGGTCACCACGAGAGGCTCCTACAGCGACTATGCTCTTCTTTGCTGCTAGGAGGGCCTTCTCGAGGAGGTCAACGGTGAGAGTGGTGGGGCAAACAGAGAGGAAGTGGTCCCTGACTACGCGGAGAGAGTCAGGGAGCCGGGTGACTATGTAGTAGAGGGTGATGTACATGGGGGGGGGGGTTGTTGGCGCAGAACTCAGCAAGAAGCGCAGCGCGGTAGCGAGTGTAGCTAGTGCGGAGGTGCGTAATGAGGTCAGCGATTGTGGGAAAGGCAGCAAGGTCAAGGAAGAGGTACGGTAGCATGAGGCGGCTCAGTGCAGCAGTGGCAGGGGAAGAGTAGCGTGCAACTACTGCATCGTACAAGGTCTGAGCACTCTTGTACTGGCTCATGTGTGCACGCTCAGTGGTCGATAAGTGGCGGCGCACAGCAAGGCGAGCACCAGCATCGCGCGTGGCCCACTGTGAGCGAACAGTGGCGTCAGCATCAGCAGCAGGGGCAGGAGAGGCACCAGAAGTGAGGTCAAACAGGGAGAGACCGTCTGCCCTATCGCACTGTAAGAAAAGCTGCAGATCATCTACCCAAACCTCAAAGTCAACTGCCCGACCCTCAGCGTCAAAGGTGAGAACACTAGGGGTGGCCATGACAGCAGTAGACAGGCAGTGAGTACAGTGGGGCAGGGCAGTGCAGTGGTAGAGGCGCTGCTCTTACCAGGCAAGTGCGGCGGTCCCGGGCAGGCCGACACGCAGCGGCGCCTCGGGTGCGGTGCGACTCGGTGGCTCGGTGGCTCAGCAGCAAAGGCGGCTTGGCGGCTCGGCGGCAAAGGCGGCAAAGGCGGCTCGGCGGCTCGGCAGCACAGGCGGCTCGGCGGCTCAGCGGCTCGGTGGCTCAGTGGCGCAGCGGCTTGGCAGCTCGGCAGCAAAGACGGCTGGGCGGGGCCGCTCAAGGGCAGCGACGGGGCCGCTGAAGGGCGGTGACGGGGCCGCTGAAGGGCGGCGACGGGGCCGCTGAAGGGCGGCGACGGGGCCGCTGAAAGGGCAGCGACGAGACCGCGGAAGGGCGGCGATGGGGCCGCTGAAAGGGCGGTCACGGGGCCGCGGAAGGGCAGCGACGGGGCCGGTGAAAGAGCGGCGACGGGGCCGTGGAAGGGGTGGGCGGCGACGGGGCCGCTGAAAGGGCGGCGACGGAGCCGCGGAACGGCGGCGACGGAGCCGCAGTAAGGGCGGCGACGGGGCCGCTGAAGGGCGGCGACGGGGCCGCAGTTGTTAGAGAATGAATGATTGAATTGAGAGAGAAGTGAGTACAAGTACCTAAACCTAGAAGTGTGTACCCCCTAAAGGCTTACCCACTGTAGCCTAAACAACTACAACATATATAATGTTTGACACACCCCCATAGGCAAAGTGGGGGAGAGCAAGGGGTCACAAGACCAGTCAAAGCAAAGCGAGGCAAAACAAGCTCAGGGTGGATCTCAAGGATACCACACAAATTCCGAGCACAAGGAAGCGGTCACAAGACCATTTCACATGCAGTTTGATAATATATCAAGAGATACAGTGATCACAACCTAACAAGTGTAAGCATGCAGAGATATATATAGAGATCACAGTACAAGCAGAGTCAAGAAGTGAGCAAGTGAGGGAAAGTAGGCATAAGGCCTAGAACAGTATAGAAACGCTGATGGTCATAAGTCTGAAGCGCCTTGGTGAACACATCAGCAGTGTTGGCCCGAGTGGCCACGTAATGCAGACGAAGCTGACCACGCTGCTGCAGCTCTTGAGCAAGGAAGTACCGCAGAGCAATATGCTTCGTTCTGTGCTCCAGTCTGTGCTCCTCACACAAGGCAATGGTAGCCTTGTTGTCGACGTACAGCACTGGAGGAGAACTAGGCCGCTCTCCCAGGTCGGTCAGCAGGTAGGTGAGCCAGCGTAACTCCTGTGCAGCCATGGTTGTGGCGTAGATCTCAGCCTCACAACTGGAGCTGAGAACAGAAGAAGAACGAGTAGAACGCCAAGAAACTGAACCAGAGCCAAGGCTGAAGGTGTAACCCTGTGACGACTGCTGAGTAGCCTGGTCGTCAGCCCAAGAAGCGTCTGAGTGCCCAGTGAGTACAACTCGGTCTCGTCCTCCAAGCACTAACCCCATGCCCGACGTACTGCACATGTAGCGCAACACCCTCTTAGCAGCATCCATGTGCTCCTTCCGGTGACGGCCAGGAGCTACATAGCGTGCAAGGATGCTAAGAGAGTATGCACGGTCAGGTTGAGTGCAAGTCATCAAGTACATGAGGCAGCCCACAAGCTCTGGATACAAGCCACTCGGCTCTACGGACTCATCCGAAGGCAGAGCTGAGAGCGAGTGACCTGTAGGCAGAGGACTCGACTGAGGCGAGGAGTACGTGAAGCCGAAGCGCTGAAGGACCTGCTGCACCATGTGTGACTGAGTCAAGGTGATGGTGCGCCGTGCTTTGTCCCGGGTGATCCGCAAGCCAAGATAGCTTGTCATTTCACCCAGGTCTGTGCACGTGTGTCTCTTCTGCAGCTCCGACTTCACGTGGGCGAGTGCCGCAATGTCAGCAGTGGCAAAGACCAAGTCGTCGACGTACACGAGGATGTAGAACGGTGGCAGCGAAGTGTCGGTACGTAGAAACAGCGACGTGTCAGCAGTATAGGGAGCGAATCCAAGAGCCGCAAGTGTAGTCCTCAGTGTGTCGTGCCACTCACGCGGTGCCTGTCGGAGACCGTAGACTAGCCGCCGGAGGCTCCACTGGGTACCAGGAGGGAACGACCCAGTGAATCCAGGTGGGCAGCGCAGCGAGATCTCCTCGTGCAGGCTGCCCTGTAGGAAAGCAGTGCTGAAGTCAAGAGAGTGGAGCTCGTAGTCACGCTGAGCGGCGACGTGCAGCAGAACCCAAAGAGTGGTAGTCTTCGGGGTCGGGGAGAAGGTCTGGAAGAAGTCTACTCCCTCTCGCTGACTGAAGCCTCGTGCAACGTAACGCGCCTTGAAGACAGACGGAGATCCCGGCAGCCGCTTCACCCTGAAAATCCACATACCACTGACGATGTTCGCCCCAGGTGGGGGAACCTCGTCAACGTAGGTACCTGTGGACTTCCAGGAAGCCATCTCTACGTCCATGGCTGACCGCCACTAAGAGGAGTAGGGACTCTCGATCGCCTCAGCGTACGATCGAGGAGTCGCGATGTCAGGTGCATCCGGATCTCCCTCAGGGGCAACTAGCATGGACACGAGATGAGGTAAAGCAGCGGCAAAGCACTGAAACTCCTCCTGCCTGTCCTCAAGGACGTCCGTGCCAAGAGCACACTCACCCCCGACGGACGGAGGACAGACAGACTCAGACTCAGCAACTAGGCTAGCGGCGTCGTCTAGACGACAGGTGGCAGCAAAGTCGACAAGCTCAGCAACTAAGGCATACGCAGCAGCGGACTCAAAGGAAGGGTCAGTGACAACAGTAGCCAGGAGACGCGTGACAGTAGGACTGGTAGCGCGAAGGGAGTCAGACTCCGGGTCAGCAAGAGCAGGAAGAGAGGACGCAGGAGGAGACAGGAGAGGGACACGCTGGGGAGCAGTGGAAGGACGCAGAGTCATATAGTGTGTGCCGGGGACAGCAGGAGGGCGCGCACGCGGAACACGGCGAGCAGTGCGAGCAGTACGAACACGTGACGCCGGACGAGACACAGGCAACACAGGACGAGACTCTGGATCACGACGCTCTGTAAGACCGCCTGTCGGACCAGTGTAGGGAGGAAGACTAGGAAGGGGCGAGGCAGGCGGCAGCTGTGACTGCGACTGGACAGACGGAGGACACTCTAAGGAGGGAGGAGGAAGACGAGGAGGCTGACCAAGAACCTGCTGAAGGAGCGGAACGAAGTACGGCCGCGGCCGTGCAGTGTCTCCAGAGCCAGAAGAGACACCAGCGCCAGGGTCCACAGCACCAGCAGCAGCACCAACACCCGGGTCCACAGCACCTGCAGCACCTCCAACGCCCGGGTCCTCAGCACCAGTAGCAGCTCCAACTCCAGGGTCAGTAGGACCAGCAGCAGTTCCAACGCCCGGGTCCTCAGCACCAGTAGCAGCTCCAGTCAGCAGCACTAGCAGCACCGCCAACGCCCGGGTCCGCAGCACCAGCAGCAGCCCCAACGCCCGGGTCCGTAGCACCAGTAGCAGCTCCAACGCCCGGGTCCTCAGCACCAGTAGCAGCTCCAGCTCTAGGGTCAGCAGCACCAGCAGCAGCGCCAACGCCCGAGTCCGCAGCACCAGCAGCAGCCCCAACGCCCGGGTCCGCAGCACCGGTAGCAGCTCCGTGATTGGTACTCTCAGCACGAGGGGGGGGGGGGGGGGGGGGGTGGCCTTAGCTGCACGTACGTTATCCGCACTGGTGACCGCACTGGTCAGACGTGTGGGAGGGCTCACCCCACGAAGCGCTGCTTCTCTCGCCTCGACGACGCTTGGCGCACTCAGTTTCCTGAGGCCAATGCCCGCTGGGCTGATCTGATGAAGAAAAACATTGATATCTTTGTACTAGACTTTGATGCTATTCTCACCGCCATGTATGTGATGTCTGTTAGTGGAGAGGATGCTCAGTACCTGCATGTTCCGCCCGATCCGGGCATTCGGTTCGGGCGGCCTGGTTCTGGCGGGGCCGTGGCTGTCGCGTGCAGGGCGCTAAGGGGTGGGCGCGCGGGGTCTACGAGGCCAGCGGGGCCTCTAGGCGGGGCGCACGTGGGGTCGACAGAGCCAGCGGGGCCTCTAGGCGGGGCCGACAGGGCCTCTAGGAGGGGCGTGCGCAGGGTCGATGAGCCGACGGGGCCTCTAGGTGGGGCCGACGGGGCCTCTAGGTGGGGCGCGCGGGCCGACGGGGCCTCTAGTTGGGGCCGACGGGGCCTCTAGGTGGGGCCGACGGGGCCTCTAGGTGGGGCCGACGGGGCCTCTAGGTGGGGCCGACGGGGCCTTTAGGTGGGGCGCGCTCGGGGTCGAGGGGCTGACGGGGCCTCTAAGGGGCGGCGCGCGGGTCGCTAAGGGGTCGTTAAAAAGAGAGACGCTGGGGGAGGCGCTCGAGGGCGCTCCGACAGTGAGGCGCACGAGGGCGCTAGTAGGCAGTCAGCAGTGGTGGGCCCTAAGAAATCGGTCCTAGCGAAGGACCTGCTCTGATACCATGTTAGAGAATGAATGATTGAATTGAGAGAGAAGTGAGTACAAGTACCTAAACCTAGAATTGTGTACCCCCTAAACGCTAACCCACTGTAGCCTAAACAACTACAACATATATAATGTTTGACAGTAGTTAGGGGCGGCGACGAGGCCGCTGAAAGGGGCGGCGACAGGGCCGCAGTAAGGGGCGGCGACGGGGCCGCAGTAAGGGGCGGCGACGGGGCCGCTTAAAGGGCGGCGACAGGGCCGCCTAAGGGCGGCGACGGGGCCGCTTAAAGGGCGGTGACAGGGCCGCTGAGAGGGCGGCGCGACGGGGCCGCAAGGGCGGCGCGACGGGGCCGCTAGGGGCCGTAAGGGGGAACGACACGGGGCGCGACTCGGGCAGGGTCCAAGCGCGCTCCGGGCAGGAAAAAAAAAAAGTTCGGTGGGCCCTAGGAACAGTTCCCACGAGGGAACCAGCTCTATACCATGTGAA